TCAAACGACTATCAGCATCTTTACTGCCTCATATAAATTGAGGTTTTGCACAACCTCAATGTTCCAACATCAACACATTTTGTCAACATGTTTGCTGGATTCTTTGCACCCTCTATCTTCTCCAAACACATCACCATCTTCCACTAACCTGCGAGTGAAATGGTATTGCCTTCCGTATTTTGTCTTTGAATGATAAACCGAGTTTCTCACGAACTGTATTACATTCTGACTATTTGTATAAAGAATCTTCTCGTGTTGTTTCTTGCCCAATTCTTCTAGATAGTCTGTTATCCATATTATCTTCTTTCCAGCTTTAGCTATTTCCATATACTCAGCCTCAGTAGATGAAATAAAAACACATTTCTGAAGCCTAGATATTCCATCATCCATGGCTTGCTCCCACTTGGTTGTATCCTCAAATTGTAGGGTCTAATCAAAGGGCTCTAATTCCCCTTCATCAATTAGCAACAGATAGTGTAATGAAGCTACATATCTATCTGGTACTCTGATAGTTCAGGTTGATCTTTTCAACACCTACTTAGGTGTCACTTGGTCCACCTCTGGTTCCTCAGCAATAATTTCAAAAGTTTCTTAAGTATCTTCTACAACATCCCTTTGTGAATTGTTCTGCAACTCAATTTCAAAACCCACTTGCTTCTTTGTCCCGAAAACTTTCTTCTCTTTGTTCTTATACATAACATTTTCATCAAAAGTCACGTCATAGTGTTTCAAAACTTTTCGGTTCTTGTCATCCAAAAACTTGTACTCGAACATGTCAGAACCATAGGCTAAGAAATAGCATTATACATCCTCAGTATCAAGCTTGTCACTCTTCTTTGGATCAAGACGAACATACGCAGTGCAACCAAAATCCCTCAAGTGAGAGTACTTGAGTTCTTTTCCTGTTCATACTTCTTCTGGCAACTTGAATTCCAAGGGTACTTGTGCGATTAAGCTTCTGCTCATGCACTAGCAAGGAGCTTTAAAGTTCATCTATTTGCATCTCTTCAACATTTTTTGCTTCTTCAATAGAACATACAATATAATCAAACTTTGGAGTTAAAGATCACAAAATCTTTTCTAACCGCAATATCCATGATTGAATCACCATGCATCCTCATTTTACTTGCAAGACTCATAACCTTGCCAATATAATTATTTACCGTTTCTCTCTTTTGAATTTGGAGAATTTCAAAGTCTCTTCTAACTGCTTGAAGTTGAGCACTCTTTACTCTCGTTGAGCCTTGATACTTCTTCCTCATTGAATCCCAAATTTTCTAGGATGTCTTCTTCTGATGCATCGTTTTCAAGATAGTCCGATTAATGGACTGGAATAAGTAGTCCAACGTTTAAATCTTGACTGTGGAGGATGTTTCCACATTTTTTGCACGAGTTACACGTGCCCTTCTTCTACTCAGACGTGTTCCTCAACTGGTTTCATGACACGTGTCAACATGTCTACCTGACACATTTGTCCATTCGTTGTGTGACATGTGTCTGTCCCTTCTTTGGTTGCTAAAAATTTTTGAGATTTCATATCAATTTTCAATAGTTTATAGAAAGGGAGGAGTTAGTGATTTAAATGGATTGACTGGTAGTTCCTATGCAGGAGACATGGAAGGTAGCAAGAGTACTTTAGGCTATGTGTTTATGATGAGTGGATGAGTAGTAGTTTGGTATTCTCGTAAGCAGCCTATAATCACCTTATCAACCACAAAAGTTGAGTTTGTTGCTGCTAGTGCCTGTGCATGTCAAGCTGTTTGGATGAGGAGGATACTCAAAGAGATTGGTCACTCTCAAATAGAAGGAACAAAGCTAATGGTGATAATACTTCAACTATTAAGCTATCCAAAAATTCAATTCTACATGGACGTTCCAAACACATAAGAGTAAGATTTCACTTTCTTAGAGATCTTACAAAAGAAGGGACTGTTAATTTATTATTTTGTAGTATCCGAAATCAACTTGCTGATTTGTTGACAATACCTCTAAAATTAGAATCATTTCGGAAGTTGCATGAAGAACTTGGTTTGCAGAGTTTTTCTGACTTGAACTGTAATGATCCAAAATTTTCTACTTAATTTAAGGTCGCTACTATATACGTACCATAAACATTGAATGTGGAAGACTTCATTAAAATTTCATAAAACATAACTTTTATCTTAAAACACAGTCATAGACTTACGTGTTTCGAAAATATCTTTAAAACGACACAACAAAAGACTAAATTAAATGAATAAGAGTTTAAGTTAAAAACATCATAGTTAAGTGACCCCCTATCGGGGTTATGCAACAATCACATGCAATCAAATGATGGGACCTATCTTTCATTTCGTTTCGTTTCGTTTTCCCTACGGTACTGTCCTAACGGTTAATCATGGACGTGTACCATATACTCTACACATAGCCCATACGTGCGAGTATGGGCTCACCAACTAGTTCGCACACAGCTGGGCCACTTTCCTTATTCGGTGGGCATACTTTGGGTGTCCCTTATGTCGGGACCGGTTAGAACTAGTAACCGTCACGGCAGCGCTATGCAAAGCATAAGGATTGTTGACCTGCCATTGGATGTACGCATCCGTACCCTCGTGATGGGATATGGGTATCCCCCAAATGCATGAGCACACATAATGCATGAGGTCCCAAAACTTTTCCATTTTCATTATCCTTTAATACAACCCCGCTAGCATTATGTACATATCATATCATTTTTCATATCGTTTTAGATATCGTTCATCATTCATGTCATATCGTTTCACATTTTTCAGTTCTCAAATCATACATAATTCTAACAGGGTTATACTTCATGCCATTTATCGTAATTTCATGTCATTTGTATCATGCTGTATACACACAATTTAAGAGACCTAACATAACGTTCTATGCTTTTAACATAACATTGCATCATATACACATCATACCATGACATATTGCATCACAATGTATCATATCATAAACAAGTCATAACGTAAACACTTCATAGTCATATCGTTCTCTAACTTATCATAGCCTTAACGTTCTTATACCTATCACAGACATATCATTACTTGAACGTACCTTAGTCATCTCATTACAAGAATTTAACCTAACGCTATCGTTCTATCAATCTATCACAAACCTATCCCTTTCTACCAGTAACCTAACCGTACTCTTCCATCAATCTCTCTTATCCATATCAGTCTGGTATGTAACCTAACCTTAACGTTTCATGAACGTATTTTATTCCTATCGTTACATTTCATTTTGTGCATCCTTCTTGTATCCTATCTCAAACATATCCTTGAACACATCGTACCATAATTATTATCATACAATTCACATATTATAACATATACATAACATATAGGAAGCCTATCCATCCACAGACAATTCACACATATCAATATATATGACATGTGCAGCACCACAGGGCACGTGTCAACATCAAATATAATCATGCCGATAGTAAAGTCACTTACCTGGTTAGCTTAGGATGATGTTCTGTCGTTATCCTTAATGAAAGTCCATTGAAATCCAAGTCAACCTATGTGAGCCCATGACATCAGTTTCAAATTTGAATTTCTACAAAATTGTTTCTCTAATTTGTCAACACCCATGTGCTATACTTCATACTACCGTTAGAGTCTATGCCTGAGTTAGGTCTTGAAATATTTATATATGTTTGTTATAGTATTATTTTCATACAAACCATTTAATACTCATTAAACTTTATATTCTATTTTCTATTGCGGTGTTTAATACCCTTTTAACATTTTCCAGATAATTGGATAAAAGAAAAGGAGATCTGAGATATAACTTACTGAGAAATCTCAAATCTCTCTCCCATGTAAATCTTTATCATCTCTATAAACCCATCTCCTATAAATGTGACGGGAGGCATTTAAGTTTTCCCGAATCTAACATTTTTTATTTCTGTTTCATTTTGCAGGAATTGTGAGATTTGTTGAGGAGAGATTAGTGGGGAAGTGACTACGGATAGTGGAGAGAAATTAGGGAATAATTGTTTTTTATTTACTTATTTATTAACTTATTATTATTATTATTATTTTACATAATAATAATTTTTGTTTATAATAATTTTTATTTGTTTATTTATTTATTTATTTTGGGCAGTTACATGAACTCATTCTTGACAGAGAAAAATAAGTTGAAGGGAGGGATGGTTAGAAGAATTTGATTAAGGCCAAAATAATTAGAGTATTTTTAGGGAATAGTTTAAATATTTTTCAGATTTGTTTACCGATTTGTTTCCACATCTGTTTACCATATTTGTTTTCAAGATTTGTTTATAAGATTTTTGGTTAGTTTCTATTTATCCTTATTTGTAAGGCTATAAAAGCCAGGTCAGTATTGAATGAGATGATCACTTGACACTTCAATTGTTTAAGTTTCTGGCTTAGTTATGTCAAAACCTAACATCTTCACACTTCAATTGTTTAAGTTTCTGGCTTAGTTATGTCAAAACCTAACATCCACTTGAGAGATGTTGTCTTATTGGTTTGTATGTGGGAGTCACAACCTTCTATCTTCTTAGTGATGTTGTGACACTCTCTCCACACAAATTAGTCATTATCCTCCATGACTTGCTGTAAAAAAATCACCTTGTGGATTATGACATAGGACATTCTACCTAGAAGAGGAATTAGAGCCTCGTAACACTGCGTGTGGAAAGGTCATGAAAAGGTCCTGACCACTTAGAGTACAGTAGATGCTAACAAACTTAAATGTCATAACTTTAGAGCATATAAGGTTTCTTTTATAATTATTTTTTTAGTCCAACAATATTAAAGGAAGAAATTTAAAATAAAAGGGCAGATAATGTGATCCATTGAAATTATTAATTCAAATCATGCGTGAGTATTCATTTTGATGATGTCTAAATATTAATTTAAATTAATCTATGCGAATATCAATTCAAATCACTATTTAAAACGATAAGAAGAAGAGAAACAAAAGTTGAAACGTGTGTGTCATACATATATATGGAGATGGAATGAAACAAAAGTCGAAAGCATGTTACATAAATTTGGTTGAGACTATGGCAATGAAACTTTATTACAATACTCTGCGAGAGCCCACAAAGGGAATACGTTCCTATATAGTCCATAGTGTAGCATGCATGTGTTCATAAGTACTCCACCTATCTCCTTCCATACAAATAACTCTCTTTTTTAATATAATAAAAGTTATAGTTTAACCAAAACTCACATTACAATAACCTACCTGTTGAGGGTAATCACCATTCTCCAGTTGAGAATTAATCAAAAGCTTTGCCGCACGGTGAAGAGGAGTTGTCTCTCTTTTCCTACATTCATACGCCAATTCTTTTATATATATATATATGTAAAGCTTTAGATACTTATAATAATTGAAGTAAAGGAGTAAAACAAACCTGTTCAGAGTGGATCAAAGCCATTAAAGCAAAGGATGTTTGAACAAGATTGGAAGAATTTCCTGGAAGAGGAACGTATTTCTTTTGTGTACATGAAATGCGACTCTCTCCCCACCACCGTCTGGACATTGAATTTTAAGAACAAACTCCACACCTCTTCTTAGTGTTGAGGAATTATTGTAAGTGTTTCCCGTTGCCACTAATCCTCTTATAGCGAAGTATGTTGCATAAGTGTAACAAATTCCCCAGTATCCATGCCATGATCCATCCTCTTTCTGAGTTTCTTCCAAATACTTCACTGCTTTACTTAAAATGGTTTCTATCTCTTTCTTTCTATGATTCGGAAATAGCTTCCTAAACAGAACAAGTGTCTGTATTGATGATGACGTGTATTCTACATGATTGACTACCATACATGTATGTATGCCAAAAACGAAAGATAATATTTATTTATTTATAAATTAGTAAAATATTTAATAATGGGTAATACTTACTTCCATCTTCATTCCATTCACCGATCCACAAGTAATCTTTGATTCTAACAAGATGTTTCTTATAAGCTTCCCCGTTAGGATCATCAATCCAACAAGCAAGTGTAAACAATGGCTGCACGTTCAATAACCCTCCACCATATTAGTTAAATTATATTTATTAATATAATATTATTATTCATAATTATAACCATAAAAGAAATAAGAAGTATGAAATTAACCTTTTCCACGCATCCAATTGTAATGTAATGACTATTATGATCTTCATAATCAATATGACACTTAGCTATTTGAAGAGCTCTATTTCTTATCGTTTTAAAGGCCCAACTATTAAGAATGGGTTCTCCAAAATATTGAAGATTATCCCATGCTAATTTCGGAAAGAATGAACGTTCAAAGCATTTGTCTTCCTACATCATTATGTCCAATTCAATTAAAGTAATCAAAGTCTCATACCGTACAAATCTCAAACCTTTTGAAAGGCTGAATATTGATTTGTTCTTTACTCGTGCATTGTTGTTGTAGGGAGAGTTTAGGAGCGTACCTTTGCACAATAATGACGAGTTGGACTCCATTTAATGTGATTGTAAGGTTGAGTATAGATTTCTTGACGTAATTGAAGAATGAGAGGGATGAGAGGTCCAACAAATCGCTTCCCATGTAAATATGACATAGGGAGAAGTGTCAATCTAGAATAGCAAAACAAAGTTCGAGGAATGAAAGGGAGTAATTTCCCTAACAACCAAAATTCTTGAGGCATAGGGTTTGCTCCCTCCCACTCGTAAACTCCCAACATAGTTAAATTATAAGTTTAGTTCCTTAAATATGAGTGAGTTGGTTTCAAATCAAATAAAGTAGAGATATATATGGTACTAACTGCGAGCCACATCTTTCCCTGAAGGTACATAAATAGCACCTCCATGATCTAGAATCCATTTTAGAGCTCTAAAACACTCATCTTTGTCAGGTTCTTCTCCCAACAAACGGAGTTGATTATAGTTAAAAACAGTGCAAAACATACAACTTTGTCCCACAATGTCCAATCCACAATGTCCAATCCACAATGTCCAGTGGAGGGAAATAAAACATAGGGCCAGCGTTTTCAGCAGGTCAATGGCCGTGAGGGCTTTGTAAGGCTGCGAAGAACTTGGTGGCTCTTCTCAGTGCAATGCTCGCTGTTTCCTTATTAATTATTGGTATTTTCTCATCCACATCTCTTCCTTCCTCCACTTTCACTATTGGAATTGTTTGCTTGAAATTTCGGTCTCTTAGAAACTGCATGTACGTCTCTCCAAACAATTATTTAAATTCACATTTATGGATAAAGTAGACCAAACAAATATATGTCTAGTTCCTTCCAATTTTTACAGATGACGTACACTGAATTTACTGATAAAGTTTTGAATTCAAAATATGAAGTAAATCCTCCATTTTACCTTTGCTAATTAATAAAAATATTTTGAATAATACTTTTAAGCTTCTAAATAATATTCTTAAACACAAAAATATTCTTACCATTAATTTTGAATCGAGAGCGATTAAAAAATACTCTTATTAATATCCTTAAATTTAGTTAGAAACTTTGAAAATACCTGGTAGCTTTTCTTACTTTGTTTGAAAGTAAAGAATATCATTACGTCTATTAACTTTAATTTATGAAGTGTGGATAGATTAAAATTGTTTTTTTAATAAAGTTAAAAGGGTGTTGGTACAAACCGAGAATGTATTTTTTAACTTTTAAAAAAATTTGAAGGGTTTTAATGAAAGTTTTTAAAGTTCAAGGGTATTTTTTAAATACTATTCCTATTTCAAAGATATTTTTGAAGTAAACTACTAACCGTTGTTGAGGATTGTTAGAAGTAAGTCCGACATTCACTAATTTAGGGAACGATATTTTATAAGCAAGGAATACATCTCCATTGGTATTGGTATGAGGCGTTTTAGGGAATCCAAAACCAAAGTTATGAGAGTTTAAACTCAAATGAACAATATCATATCATTGTAAAGATTCATGATTCCTAACATGGTACTATAATATTAGAGCTATTCCTAACATAGTATAGTGCTTTGCTCTTAATTAGTCATGTCAATAGAATCCTCAAGTGTCAAAAGAGTGTACATCTTAGCAAAATTTGAATTGGAAAAAAAAATTAAATTTTATTATGAAATGGAATCTTATAAGTTCAAACATATATGGTAAAATAAGAAGCTGAAGAAGGGTTAAGAAGTTTTCTTCTTCGTAAAGAATCATCTCCCTTCTAACTTCGGTTATTCAAACTCGCTCACGAATTCCATTCACGTAAAAATCATTTTAAACTCATGCGAACGTTAAGTTTAATATTATCTAAACCTATAAATTTATATTCAATATCAAAAAATAAAAAACTATTAAATATTTGAAACAATTTTTATAATATATAAAGAGAGGACCTGAAATCTCTAGAACAAATCATTGTTGCATGGAATGTTAAAACGATTATGGTAATAATTTTGACGAGCTTCTTCCACTTGAGCTTGCTCTTCTGGAGTGCCTTCATGGGGCTCGGAATCCCACGTTTGTCTCCCCACAGTTGTTGGAGCTGTATAAGTATGGATTATTTGCTCCTTCTCCGAGCTTAAGTCTCCACATTTTCACTCTCACAATTCGACCCTTCCATACAAAATTTTTCTACTTATATAGACGAGGGTATTACTTATATGTTCGTTGTGTCAATGTCAACATTTTTATTGGTTGAGAAAAAAAAATCCAATGAATTATTAAATATAATGAAATTAATTTGAATATTTAAAATGAGTACTTAGAGTTATTAATGTATACATAACTTAATTTTAGTTTTTTTTTCCAAAAATATTTATTGACGTCATAAAACATCATAGTTACTTTATTATTATTATTATTATTATTTTTTTTTTGAAATGGAAGGTTTAATTATAACAACAACCCACCACCTAATAAATTTAATGCTCAACGCAACCATCATTTTAACTTGATCACTTTACTCGACTATGGCCCTCAATTATTAGCCCACAAATTAGTTGCATGCTTCTATTCCTTTCCAAAAATAATTGGTTAAAATAACTAGCATTGGTATACTTACTCGTTATAACTAGTACGGATGCATATACTGATTTATACTCGCTTCTTTTCTTTCGTTGCTTCTAGAAGTGTGAGTATGCGCTAGTCTGTAATCATGTCCAAAAGGTATGCAGTGAGTTTTCCTAATAAGTTCATGTACGCATGTGTCGACTGTGTGCAGAAAAGTAATATACATTAAACCCTAATTGAATTGGAAAGTAAAGACCCAGGAAAAGTTTTATGGAAAGATAGGTTCTATTATGATTGCATGTACTGCATTTTCCGACCTCAACAGTATGGCTACTTACTGAATATTTTTATATACTTAAGTCACAACTACTTTTTTTTTTTTTTTACATAAAGGTAATGTACCCATATACAAATGACGGTGTCCCTGCAGAGGCCATGGAAATAAAGTTAGCGTAGTCGCATTTTGATTGTATGTTGTAGCCCTTAGGTTAGATCTAGACGTTCCTTTTCTTTTAAATTCTATTGTTGGTTTAAATGATTTTATTTTTTTATGAATGTATATCAGATAGCACCTTTTTAGTAAACTGTTTTATAGGATTTTCCAAAAATATTAGATATGTCAGGCTTGTAGTAGCTATCTTATTTTAAAAGGAAAAATAGGTTCATTACACCAAATACTAGAAAACTCATAATGTATGGAAGCAAAACAAATATTCATAGGACATTTGTCACGACCCAACTTTTTACTTTTTACGGTGGCAAAAAAGACAAAGATAAAATCAAAAGAATAAAAATAAAAGATTAAAAATAGAGTAAATCAAATTAAAATAAAAAAAACACCCTAACTAAACTCAAAATGAAATCAAATTACAAGTTGGTATTGTTGGTGTTTAATACAAATGTGGAATGAGTTTGGATAGAATGACAAACAAAATACAAAGACAGAACTGACGCTCTAACGACATGCTTTGTTTGAATACTTCCCCACTTGTCCAGTTACCTATGAACACCTAAAAAAAAGGAAAGGGGTGAGTATAAAAAACATTGAATAAGCTACCGAATTGTAGATTCATCGCATTCTTATCTAGTAAGTTACCACAAAAATTTTCTAGGCTTTAGGAAGTTCGGGCCTAGTTCTACAACTATCTGAGCTTTTAAGAAAGACCTTGAAGTTCAAAGCAGTTCTTATGTCCACCACAAACCTACTAAGTTTGGAGGAGCTTCACTCATTTCTGGTGTCGTTAATCTAGTCGGTGTCAAATCTCTTCTCTAGGGTGAATTACTTTCTTGTTCTTAGACTTAGTTAACTCGCATAGCATAGTTGTGGAATGATTGGTATCCTGAATTGAGACACTACCTCATAAAATATGTTAGGATAGTATGACAACTATCTTGTCTGAACATCATCCATAGAAGGTTAACTTGCAACCCTTCCACACAGACATAGAGTCACGCTGAATATAGAGGAGGACATTCATGTGTCGGCTAACTACTAGATTATCTATGTAGAACCACGCCCCTCTCAAAACAAAGTTTATAGCGCAACGATCCTATTCTAGTGACCATGTGTCGAATATTGGAGTTTGTACCTATTTATAGTTTATTGATTGTTATAGATAGTAAAACTATATATGGAAAATGGACATATATAAATGATTATTTATAGTAAAAAATGGTAGAGATATACATGGTAGATAGTGTTGGGATTTATGCCCCTAAAGCCTTGCAATTAATTACTTAATTTCTAACAATAATTTTTATTATTTTATTTATGATTTAATTACTATCCATGGTATCAAAGTTCAAGGTTATTAATGTAATCTTGAAGAATATATGGTTGACTACTAGAGAATCGTGTTCAAGTAATAACCTAAAGAGTCTATAGTATATGGATAAAGTTGAGTGCCTTATCTTGGTAAGGCTATTGATACGGCCCATTGCCTTATCCTGGTAACACTAGTGCCTTATCTTGGTAAGGCTATTGATACGGCCCATTGCCTTATCCTGGTAACACTATTGATACAGCCCATTGCCTTATCCTGGTAACACTATTGATACGGCCCATTTTGTAATCGTTACAAATGATTTGATCCAAATCATTCAAGTAGAAGCATGTAAGTGGGGGTATCCTATGCAATGAGTTTGTATAAGATTAGACCAAGAAATATTTAATCACTCTTTATAAATCCGTTAATTGATAAAAGTTTGTATAAGATTAGACCAAGAAATATTTAATCACTCTTTATAAATCCATTAATTGATAAAATTAATATTTCACATGATTATCATATGCGACTCGATCCTAATCCTGAGTGAGGTTTGAACTCTTGCCTCTGAGGGCTTGTCCTTTGATTTACATGGGTGAGAATGACTATTTTAGCCGATTCAATATGCCTACCATTTTGGAGACTTGACCAAATAGGGAGTTGGGAACTTAATATCATAAGATAAATTCATTCATTTTCATATAAGGAAATTAAATGAGTTGTTTTAAGTACTGATTTTGGAACTTGAACAATGGGCTTCATCCTCTCATTAGCCCGAGTGGGACTTGGTTTATAATTGGATCATAAACAAATTGTTCATTATAGAATTAATGGTACTTAAGGTGAAAGATGTAATTACAGGGGTAAAACAGACTTTTGTCCCTACTGTAATTATGAACAATTAGTGAATGATCGACTTGCCTGTAATCATTATATCAATGGACATAACTTGTCCTACAGTGCATAAGAGTACAACTCTAGGTCTATAGTGAAGTGACCTATAGTTAATGAATGAAATTTGATTAATTAAATAGTATAATTAATTAATTTTATATCATTGGAGCTTATAATTAATTAATTTTATATCATTGGAGCTTATAATCTATAAGTCCATAAGGTCTCCTACTAGCTCATAACTTGTCCTACAGTGCATAAGAGTGCAACTCTAGGTCTATAGTAGGTCTATAGTGGAGTGACCTATAGTTAATGAATGAAAATTAAGAGAAGAAAACATGAACACAGAGCTGAAGAAGGAGAAACTAATGAACGAAAAGGAAGAACAATTGGATAACAGAAAGCTTGAGCTTGAAGAGAGAGAGCTTCAATGGCGGCAAAGGAAATTTGAGGAAGAAAGAGATTATTCGATGAATCTGGTAGGGTTATTGAAGATTTGGAGAGAAAAGTCGATTCGAAAACGAAGGAGAAAGTAGAAATTGAAAAAGAAAAGAAAGCTTTAGAAATGGAGATTGAAAGGTTAGAGAAGGAAGTGACTGAGCTAAGTGAGAGTTCTTTCTCTATCAAACAGAAGAAGGAAGAGAATGGGAAGGTAATTTCTGAGCTTGTGAAGAAAATTAAAGAAGGTGTGGAGAAACAGAATGACTTATTAATGGAGGTTGATGGTTTAGTGGAAGAGTTAGTGAGGGAGGAGAAAGATGTAGAAATGTTAACTCAACAGAGAGATTCACTTGATGTGAATCTGAATCGAGTCCAACAAGAGGTAGTGAGTTTACGACGCACAATTGAGATAATCACTCATGATAAAGCTGAAATGGAGGAGGCGAAAGTGGAAGTGGAAAATGTCATTGTGGACTTACGAAGGGAATTGAGTAAACTAAAAGAAGCTATAACGTCTTTGACTGAGTCGAGCGAGGTTGAGAAGGGGAGAAATGAGGAGTTACTGTCTCAAATGGGCTATCTTCGAGAAGCTCTAAATGGAGTTTCCTTAGAGAAGGATAAGCTTAGTTTGTTGCTCGAGGACAAGGAGAGGAAATTGAAGAAGTCATGGCTGAGCTCTAGAAAACAGAAACGGCGCAGGTGGAGTCGTTGAAGATGATTGACATGACAGATGGTAGGATCATTTAAGTTTAGGGAGGAGTTTTGTTGAATAAATATTAATGCCAGTTAATTTGTGAGTAGATTTTAAATTGAAAAGTTATGGTGAAAGAAAAGGTCAAGAACATTTATAGGAACAAGTGTCTTCTTATGGTCCGCTATAATTAGATTTAGAAAAGTTTATAAATAGGTTGTTTTTCTATTGTGAAGGCAGAGGAGAGAAAAATAGAAAAGAAACATAGAAGTAATAGAAAAAGATTTTTTTCCGAATAAACAAAGTGTTTTTTGTCTCCTTCTATTTGACAAATTTGAGTTTTTTTTAACATGTTATACCAGGATCTAAAAGGAGAAAAGAGATCCATCAACTTTGAAAAGAAAAGAGATCCATCAACTTTGAAAAGAAAAGAGAAGAAGAAACATTGTTAATGTCATTCCATGCTATGAAGGTTGCAGATCAAGGTGTGTGGGTCGCAGGCTCTAGATGCAGCAGCCATATCACAGGTTGTAAGGAATTCTTCTCAATTCTAGATGAAAATTTTCGTACTATCTGTTTGTCTTGGCAAAAATTCAACAGTCCAAATGATGGGGAAATGAGTTGTAGATATCAAGGCTAGAAATGGCTTTGTAGAGTCAATTTCTAATGTGTTTTACATTCTTGATCTGAAGGTCAACTTGCTCAGTATCGGTCAATTGCAAGAAAAGGGGTATGTGATCACATTCCAAAATAATGAATGTGAGATTTATGACTCCATAAGAGGATCAATTGTTAAGATGAAGATGAATACCAATCAGTTATATCCGTTGATGTTAAATATCGTTGCCATAAGTTTAATGGTGAAGAAAGAAGATACCAATTAGCTTTGGCATTTTAGGTATGGTCATCTACACTTTAAAGAGTTAAAGACGTTGTCAAAGAAGATGGTGACTGGGTTGCCAGACATCACTCCTCCAACAAAAATTTGTGAGAGCTGTGTGGTAGCAAAGCATGAAAGAAATTCTTTTCCATCTGGAAAATCGAGAAGAGCTCAAGCAATTTTGGAGTTCGTTCATTCAGACATATGTGGTATGATCTCTCCAACATCAAATGGTAACAAGAAATATTTCATGACCCTCATTGATGATTTTAGTAGAAAAACATGGACTTATTTCTTGCACGGCAAATCAGAAGCCTTTGATTGCTTCAAGAATTTTTGTTCTATGATGAAGATGGTAACTAGAAGAAGAGTTAAGACTTTAAGAATTAGAGGTGGAGAGTTTTGCTCTAACGATTTTACGAAATTTTATGAAGAGAAGGGCATAGGGAGGCAGTTGACAGCACCATATACACCACAACAAAATGGTGTGGCCAAAAGAAAGAATAGGATCATTTTCAATATGGTTCGAAGTTTGCTAAATAAATGAGAAGTTCCGAAGGAATTATGGCCAGAAGCTATTGTGTGGTCAATTCACATTCTCAATTGAAGCCCTACTTTCTTTGTTAGATATATGACTCCACAAGAAGCATGGAGCGGAAGGAAGACTGTGGTAGACCACTTTAGAATCTTTGGGTGCATAGAATATGCACACATTCCTGATGAGAAAAGGAAGAAACTTGAGGACAAGAGTTTGAAATGTGTGTTTCTTGGAGTAAGCGAGATTTCTAAGCCGTACAAGCTCTATGATTCTTTAACAAAGAAGGTGGTGGTAAGCTGCGATGTAATCTTTGACGAAAAGAAGACTTGGACATGATTTCATATCCATGCTCGAAACTTAGCCATGTCAATAGAATCCTTAAATATTGAATAAAGAATTGTGAGCCTCGAAGGTGTAGTCAAAAGTGACTAAAGTGTAGAACAAAGGGTGTACTTTGTTCGATGGCTCCAGAGAAAGGTGTCGAGCCTCGATTAAGGGGAGGCTATTCGAGAGCTCCATAAGCCTCAGGGAGGCTTATGGTGTACTTTGTGCAGTTGTTGAGGATTATTGGGAGTGAGTCCCACGTTGGTTAATTTAGTGGAAGATCATGGGTTTATAAGTGAGGAATATTATCTCCATTGGTATGAGGCTTTTTGGGGAAGCCCAAACAAAGTCATGAGAGCTTATACTCAAAGTGGACAATAAATCTCAATGGCAAAGACGATTAAGAAAGCCTAAGAGGCCTAAAAGTAGTGTGACGGTGTCATCCAAGTCTTTGCCTCCTACCTCCTCTGCAAAGTGGTAGGAGTACAAATATTGTTGAGTAAGGCTTAGGCATGATAGTGTAACTGATCGAGACAACTAGGTGCTTTTATCTGTGGAAATAGTTAAGGGTCTCCTTAACTGCGCAATAAACTCGTCATGAGAAGGGGTATGAGATCACATAGATAATCTAGTAGTTGGCCCACACATGGAGGTTTTTCCCTCTTATTCAAAGTGACTCTATGACCATGTGGAAAAGTTACTAGCTAACTTTTTATGGAGGATGTCAAACAAGCTAGTTATCATATTATCCTAACACATTTTATGAGATAGTGTCTTATCCCAAGATACAAGTCATTCATTGATATTACTATGTGAGCTAACTAAGTTTAAGAACAAGAAAGTAATTCACCCTAAATATGAGATTTGACATCAAGTAGATTAACGACACCAGAAATGAGTGAACCTCCTTCAAACTTAAAGTAGGTTTGTGATAAGCATAAGAACTGCTCTGAACTTTGAGGCCTTTCTTAGAAGCTCAGATAGCTGTAACACTAGACCTGAACTTCCTAGAGCCCAGAAAAAATCGATGGTAACTTAGTAGTGTAAGAATGCGATGAGTCTATAAATAGGTTGCTTACGGAATGTCTTTTTTTCTAGGTGTTCATAGGCTACTGGTCAAGATGGGGGAGCATTTGAACAAAGGGTGTCGTCCTAGAGTCAGCCTTGTCTTTGTATTTTTGGATCTTTTGTATTTTTTTTTTAATTGTATCCCAAACTCATTCCTCAATTGTATTAAACACGAACAACACATACTTGTAATTGGATTTATTTTTTTAGGTTAATTATGATGTTTGTTTTAATTTGATTTAAATTTTACTGTATTTTTATCTTTTATTTTATTTACTTTTGTCTTTATCTTTTTCGGTCACAATCGGAGATTTGAAGCCTCTCTTTTATTTTATATGCTTTTGTCGCATGCATGACATACCTAATATACTTAGAAAATCTTATAAAACAGTTTACTAAAATGTTTCTATGGACACGTTCATAAAGTAAAATCATTTAAACTAACAATAGAGTCAACAAAATAGTAAAATTGAAATAACAAGAATTTAAAAGAAAAGCAACGCCATGATCTAACCTAAGCGCTACAACATTCAATCAAAATGCGACTAAGCGAACTTTATCTGTTTATGGGTACCTTACCTTAATCTAAAAAAAGTAGTCATGACTTGAGTATGTAAAAATACTCTGGAAGTAATCATACTATTGGTGTCGTAAACTGTAGTTACATGCAATCATGGTGGGTCCTTATCTTTCCATACAATTTTTTCTTAGTCTTTGCTTTCTTCGGGTAGGGTTAGAATGTATATTACTTCTCTACACACAGTCTACACGCGCACATGAGTCAATTAGGCAGGCTCATTACATACCCCTTATTCACGCTTTTAGAAGTCACAAAAGGAAAGGAGCGCATACAATATCATTGTGTATTCGTCCATACTAACGAGAAAATATCCCGATCCAAATTATTTTTCGGAAGTAATAGTATGTGGACTAATAACCGAGGGCCATAGTCGAGTGCCTTCCATTCAATTAAAATGATGGATGTGATGGGCATTGAATTTATTAGGTGGTGGGTGGTTGTTATAACTAAACCTCCCACTTGAAATTTAAAAAAAAAATAATAATAATAAAGTGGACTTAATTCTTTGATACAAAAGGAACAACCTAGAATATTAGAAATGATATGAGATTAAAAATTTTATTACACATTCCACATAAAATTATGATGTTTATGTAAATATTAGAGAACAAGTTAATATTATAAATATCTTAGACTGTTAAATAAGTTTAAATTACTCATCGGATTTTTCTTTTTGAAAAAGTGTTTCACTTAATTACATTGACCAGACGGATGAACAATAAAGTAATGCCCTCGTCTATATATACAAAAAAGACATTTGTGTGCAAAAGGCACCATTGAGAGAGTGAAAATGTGGAGACTTAAGTTGGGAGAAGGAGCAAATGACCCATACTTATTCAGTTCCAACAACTTCGTGGGAAGACAAACGTGGGACTTCGAGCCTGATGATGGCACTCCAGAAGAACGAGCTGAAGTGGAAGAAGCCCGCCAAAATTATTATCAGAATCGCTTCAAAGTTCAATGTAGCAGTGATCTGTTTTGGAAATTTCAGGTTTGGTCTTTAATTAGGATATAAATCATTTCATATGTTTTATCAATTTTAAGTTTAATAATCCCTAAATCTAAATTTGTTTTGTGTTTAGCTTTTTCTTTTTCTGGTATAAAAAATAGATTGATGGGTTTAAAAGATAGTAAACTTTAATATTAGTATGAATCTAAAATGATTTTAATACTATATCTTAAAAATATTCATCAAATTTTAAAAATAGTATTAATACTTTCTCTTTAAATTTTTTTGACATCTTAATAATAATATTTTTGAGGTTGGAAGAAGGAAGGAAGAAAAAAAAAACTATGTTCTTAAAGTTTTAAAAAATGTTTGAAGTTAAACTTTCAAAAAACTTTTTGAAAATTCAAATATATTTTTTAAACAAATTATTAACTTATTCCACCCACTCTAAGAATATTATTTTGGGACTTTTTAGATAAAATTGTAAGGATATTTTTATTAATTTAATCTAAATTTAAAACTATCAGTAAATTTAGTCGATAAATGTAAAATTTGGAAGGAGGTAGACACATATTTATTTGGTCTACTTTATCAATAAATGCGTATTTAAATAAGTGATTGAAAGGACATACTCGCAGTTATACTAGTTATGATTTGGTTAAAAGAAACAAACGTGGTAGGTTGGAATTTGAGTTATAACAAGTTATTGAATGCATCCTCCATCATTTTCATGCAGTTTCTAAGAGACCGAAATTTCAAGCAAACAATTCCAATAGTGAAAGTGGAGGAAGGAAGAGATGGGGACGAGAAAGTAGCAATAATTAATAAGGAAACAGCGAATAATGCACTGAGAAGAGCCACTCTGTTCTTTGCAGCCTTACAAAGCCACCATGGCCACTGGCCTGCTGAAAACTCGGGCCCTATGTTTTACTTCCCTCCACTGGTACTCTTCCTTTTTGTATTCATTTTATCTTACATGATTCTACCACATTATTACCCTTTTCTTTTCAGGTATTTTCATTGTATATTACGGGACATCTTGGTGTCATATTCTCACAACACCACCGAAACGAAATCCTTCGTTATTCATATTGCCATCAGAATGGAGATGGTGGATGGGGATTGCACATTCAGGGACAAAGTTGTATGCTTTGCACTGTTTTTAACTATCTTCAACTCCGTTTGTTGGGGGAACAACCCGACAAGGATGAGTGTTTTAGAGCTCGAAAATGGATTCTAGATCACGGAGGTGCTATTTATATCCCTTCCTGGGGAAAGATTTGGCTCTCGGTTAGTACTATATATATGCGTCTATACTATTTTATTATATTTGAAACGGCGTGACTCAAATTTAACCAACTAAACTTGTAATTTTACTATGTAGATTCTCGGAGTCTACCAGTGGGAGGGAGCAAATCCTATGCCTCCCGAGTTTTGGCTGTTAGGAAAATTACTTCCTTTCATTCCTCGAACTTTGTTTTGCTATTCGAGATTGACCCTTCTTCCCATGTCGTATTTATTTGGGAAGCGATTCGTTGGACCACTCACCCCTCTCATTCTTCAATTACGCCAAGAAATCTATACTCAATCTTACAATAACATCAAATGGAGTCCAACACGCCATTATTGTGCAAAGGTACGTTCCTAAATCATTCGATCATCCCTACAAAAATGCATTAGTAAAGGGATTATACAATTTCTACCCACAAATCCATATTCATCCTTTCAATTGATCATTTCCATTGTAGATACGGTATGAGACTTGATTATTTTGATTGAATTTGATATGATGATGCAGGCAGACAAATGTTTTGAACGTTCATTATTTCAGAAGCTTGCATGGGATGCTCTTCAATACTTTGGAGAACCCATTCTTAATAGTTGGGCCTTTAAAACAATAAGAAATAGAGCCCTTCAAGAAGCTAAATGTCATATTGATTACGAAGATCATAATAGTCATTACATTACAATTGGATGCGTGGAAAAGGTTGATTTTTCTTTTATTATGATCATTATAGATAATAATCTTATATTAATAAATATAATTTAGCTAATATGGTAGAGGGGTATTGAACATGCAGCCATTGTTCACACTTGCTTGTTGGGTCGATGATCCTAATGGGGAAGCTTACAAGAAACATCTTGCAAGAATCAAAGATTACTTATGGGTTGGTGAAGATGGAATGAAGATGCAAGTAAGTATTACCCATTATTAAATACTTCGCTAATTGTAAATAAATAAAGTTTATCTTTCGTATTAAAAGATGAATTTCCATCCCACATTCAAATAGAATAATAAAAGAAATATATAAAGGACTGACATATACATATATGAGCAGAGTTACGGTAGTCAATCATGGGATGTTGCTTTTGCCATTCAAGCAATGCTTGCCACAAATCTCCACCATGAAAATT